TGAGAGACAGGTAATTACACTCATGAGAGATGAGAGAGGAGAGCATCTGACATAAAGCGGTACAGTTAGGACAGGAGGACATCTGACATTCACGGATACAGAAGAGGGGAGGGCATCTGACACACAGGCACACAGGATGATGGGAGGGCATCTGACTCTCTCCTCTTCACACTTGTTTGATTGCTTTCACAGTTGTAGATTACTTTCATTTTCACTACAGTCAGAGATCACACCTCTTTCACACATTTACCCTGCTTTCCCTCCTCCTCTCTAGCCCTCTATGCCTCTTATCCCTCTATCTCTCTTACTTTTCCTCTGCTCATGGCAGTAATAGTAGTACACTTCAAATAGTTTATTTCTTCAAACGTAACTGAAAATGCTATCCATCTGTTTTCTTGCACTTATCTGAGGCTGGAATGCAGGGGCAGAAGTCTAAGCGGCAACTCCAAGACTTCTCTCACCTCAGACACTTGCTCCAGCTCCCCCAGGCCAGCCCAGAGACATACTCCCTCCAGAATGTTCTGGGTCTTCCCTGGGAACTCATACCAATGGGACATGCCGATAACACCTCCACATGGAGGTGTCGGGGGCACCCCAGAACAGATGCCCTCCCCTCAGACGTTCCCAACAGACTCTCACAACACACTTGAGTCTGCCAGGTCTTCCTAGCTTCCGCCTCCAGCTGACCAAACTCTGGTTGTGGTTTGATGACAGCTCTGTCCTCTCTTCACCCGAGTGTCCAAGACACACTGGGCTGTTCTTCCCGATCACCCCGCTCTGTTGTTGCCCACATGGACATTGAAGTCCCCTAGTAGAACAATGGAGTCCTAGTCGGCGCATTGTCTGGTACTGTCAGGTGACCCAAAGGTGCGGGGGGGTCGTGCAACTCTCTCGTTCACCAGGGTGAACTCCAACATGTGGGGGCTGAGCTTTGGGGCAATGAGCAAGTCCACATCAGCCTGCCACCACTCCCTGGAGGCAATGCCAAACAAGTCTCCACTTCTCAACTCGCCTCAAGATGACTGGTTCCAGAACCCAGGCTGTGTGTGGAGGTGAGGCTGTCTATATCTAGTCAATAACACTCAACCTCCCACACAAGCTCAGGCTCTTTCCCCCAGTGAGGTGATATTCCATGTTCTCAGAGTCAGTTTCCATGTCTGGAAATCTGGTTGTCAAGGTCTCCGTCTTCAACAAGAGGACGGTCCGTGGGGGAAGACCTGGTCATCAGATGTTCAATGTCAAGCACCCAGCCCTGGCATGGCTGGGTGAGGCTCTGGTAATGTTTTTGTTTCATTAATGTCCAGTTTGTACAGTTTCACTCGGTTCCGAGTTTGCGGATCCTCGGAGCCCACGACCAGGGCGGAGCTTGGAGCTTGCAGAGACTCGGAGTCGAAGCTCGGAGCCCACTCTGGTTCCGGTCTGGTCCCGGTTTGGGACCAGACTAGACCAGACCAGACCCTGAACCTTCTGGAGTGAATAGAGCGGATTTACTCGCACAACCAAATTCCCAAACTCGAACAACCTGGATGAGCAAATGAAGCATATCAGAAGCATACCAGCCGGCTGATATATCGGTCAGGCTCTAGTTTGCACAAAGAGCTCACGTTTAGCACATTTTCCAAATAAATCGATCTTGCTGATTTCATTGTCTGAGTCATGATCTGCATAATAGTCTGTTCAAATGTCAAAATTTGTCAAGAACATGATACCATGAACACCATATATGAATTTTTTTTTGGAACATTTGATAAATTCATGAAAGTAATTGTCTTCCTATCACACTATGTGATCATGTGGGACAGTGTGAATTTCCACCATGGCCCACTCATCAGGGCCTGGTTCACTTCTAAAGATGCTCATGGAGCTACTATGGCCATACTCTCCTTTCCTCAAAGAGTTTTTTTTTTTCTGCTTGGAGGTGGAGAGTGTATGAACATGGGACTCCAGACCAGATTGTTTAGTCAAATGATCTTATAGTTTTAAGAATGTCATTTCTATTTCAAGAAATGAGTCAAACCAACGGAGAAAAACTGTAATAGGAATTAATTAAGGGACAAAATGGGAAAATGAACACACCAGGATCATATAGATTGTAATACAATCATTTTAAGACCAAAATGAAGAGGCTCACTGCAGCAGTTACAGAGAGAGAAGCCACAATATTCCAGTGTAATGTCAATTGAAGCCAGGGTCAGAAGGATCCGGAAGCTCCTCCATGAACACGTCCTATTTGGAACGCAGCAGCTATGTTCATTTATATACAATCTGTGATATGAGCTCAGAGATACTGCCTTGTTTACAAAAAAGAAAATAAGAACAAATATTATGAGATTTGTGTATCTGTTAAAGGGGCAGGATTTTGGAATGAACACTCTTACAAAAAAAAAAAAAGAAAGTTATTTCACTTTTTTTTTCAGTCTTTTCACTCTAGACAGATACAGAGAGAGATGGATGGATGGATGTGACATAAACATTGTTCCTCTATGTTGCCAAATCAGTTTGCAACTGCAGATCAGTTAGTCTGGAGAGCAGTGCCCCCTCATGGTCTGTCTGTGAAGTGTACGTGATTTACTCATACTGGAGAGATCTCATTTAGTCCTGGTTCAGTCCTGGTTTAGTCCTTGTCTGTTAGGTCAAGAGCTCTGTGGAGCAACAGATTGAGGCTCAGCAGCTGGACCAGACTCAGATCTGGTTTAGTCCTCCTGTGTCTCTGTGTGTCAGATGCCCTCCCGTCCTTCTGTGTCTTAGGTTTTTTGGCATACTTCTCATCACTCATGACATTGGGTTTTGGATGGAAACATGATTTGGTGAAAAGTTTGGCTCTGGCCCCGTCCAGCTCCTACTAAGATTTACTACAACATTCTGTGCACCATATGTACAGGAGGGAAAAGAGAGGGAGAGCCACAGAGAAGAGAGAGAGGGGACAGAGAAAGCAACAGACTGGAGAGAAAGACCAAAGGAGAGAGAGATTGTAGAAGGTAGAGTTAAGTTAAATTAATTAAGGCCAAAACACATTTTTGTCACGTCATTTTAATATTTGTCTGTTTGTAAATTAACCATTATTATTTTATTACAAAGTGAATAATAAGAAATTATTGTCCCAGTCCTTGTTCAGTCATGGTTTAAATCTAGTATAGTCCTGGTTTAGTCCTGTTTTAAATCTAGTTTAGTCCTGGTTCAGTTCCTGTTCTGGTTTAGTCATTGGTTTGGTCTTGGATCAGTCCTGGTTTAGTCCTAGTTTAGCTCTAGTTTAGTCTTGGTTCATTCTTATTTCTGTCCTACCATATAGAAGGAGGTAAAAGTGTGAAAACCAGGAGTCATTTGGTCTAAAGTCTTATTAATCTCCCTCATTGTTTTTCTGTCTCTACACTACATCACTCCATCCTCCTCTCCTCCTCCTGGACAGAGCCTGGTCTGTCTCTCAGGTGGTTTTCACACTGTAACTAGTTCAGTGGACATAAAAAAAGCATTCCCTCTGAGAGTTTGTTTGGACAGTGTGAACATGACAGACATGTTCTGATTCACATTAAACAGCTGCTCCAAGGGGGCTTCACACAGGAGCTCTCAGAGCTGCTTCTTTCTCTGTTCAGAAAGGTTCAGTGTGGTGTGATGTGACCTCAGTTCAACCTCAGTTCAACCTGTGGTGACACTGACAGAGCAGGAACTGAGTACAACTGTATATTAGTATGAATGTATATTCATACAATATACATTTCAGATCATCAGATCATGTATCTATATGAATGGGCTCTGTAGAGCTGCTGTCTGACAGAAATAAGTTGCACAAGTTGTTATTGCTTTGAAATGTTCCACAGTGCAACATTAAATGTATGTATCTTGCATTTCTTCAATCACATGTTTTTATTAACAATTATAATCAATTTACTAACAGCAAAGCATGTACTGTGAGTGGACTCACCTTTCCACAGATCTGATCTATACCTTGACCTAGTGGTGCCACCTGCTTGTTATGGAGATAGATGGAAGCAAACATCTTCATGGAGATAAGTTGGTATCAGACCTTCCCTCAGAAAAGTTACTCAGTGCACCTTTAAAGTGTGACATTTGAAATGTGATCATGTCTGTTTAGCTCTTTGCTCATGTAATAAAATCAAACATGTCTTCCTCCAATACACATATATTGTATAAGAAGCTCTTTAGGTCAGAATATGTCCTTTTTCTACTGTCTGCATTAAAAAGCCTTTTATTCTTAGATAATCAGGAAGTGTGCTGGGGGTTAAACTCTGGTGTCTGGAAGTTGTGATAAGAGTTTATAAACTCATCATGGTGAATAATTATGAGGCTCAGAATGCATAAGGGAAGTGAGGAAGAACTTTGGACCACAGCAGACCATTAAAACCATTTGTTTTTTCACTTTATGAAGAGTAAAAGTCAGACACAGAGACTTAAATGACAATGTAAGTAAATAGTGATATTCAAAATGGTGGATCTAGGAAAACCATCATGTGATTTGTTATGCCATATTTATCTTAAAAGTGCATCTGACATGTTAGACTAATTTCACTAAAACATGATTAAGATCATTACATTTTTGCAACATGCATAGAGATAATACCATAACTGTTACCTAGCAACCATAATGCACACAAAGGCTGAAACTTGTTTAAATTAAACAATTGTTATGATTAGACCAAAAATAAATAAATAAATCAGCACCTTAATTTAGTTACTTAAAATTTGTTCAAAAAATGCCATCCTTGTGCGTAAATTGTGTCTGCATTTTGGATGGAGTTGCTGTGTTGATGGCATCAGGGAGGGAGGCTGTTTTACAACTTACAAAACTTTTTTTTTTTTCCTTTCTCACAGACTGCCACTTGCCTGGTGTAAAGTTATGATGAGGATTTACCCCATGCACTATCCCACCAAACCAACTCTGAATTAGAAAAACTAAAAAATCTAACATAAGCACTTTCATCTTTCTTTCTGCTCCAGGACACTCCTCTGTTGTCTTCTCTGAAAACGGGGTTGCCCTCACTATCATGAAGGGGCTCGGGGTCAACCGTAACCGCCTCCTGTCCGACTCCTGCGACCCCTCCTCCTCTCACCACCGGGAGGCGCTCTACCCTCCCAAAAACGCCATGAGCAGCAGTAGCACGCTCCCACGCGCTCCTTGTCTCCTCACGCCCGCGACCATGGACCGCTACGGGACCTTGGACCCTCACCTCTACCCCACCAACCCTCCAGACTGCATGCTCAACAACCAGATGCCCAACAGCAGCACCTTCCCTGGGCTCCACTACAACCACTATGACCCCCAAGACTTCTCCCCTCCTGAAAGCCTTGGAGGACTAACAAGTTCAGGGACTTCCATGTCTTTGGGAATGCAACCAGGAATGGGCATGTCCAGTTTACGGACTCCAATGATTACGAGCGGATCTGCAACAATTTCACACCACATTAGCAAAAGTCAAATGCCTCAAAGTTTGCTAGAATTTGACAAAAATCTTCCAGGAGCGAGGGATGGTTTTAGCACATTGCAATTCCATAGAACGACAGCATTAGCAAACTCCAAACAGCGCACGGATAGTCCAGGGAAGATCCGCTATATGCTGAATTCGGTCCAAAAACTGTTCAACAAAACGCAGTCCATGGAAGGGCATCAGGTGAAAAATGTGAACGGAAGGTCGTCGGGGAGTGGAGGGGGATCTTCTAGTGCGGAGGATGGAGGGAAGCAGAGCCGGAGAGCAAAGAGCAAAGACCGAGGGACCAAAGAACCCAAGAGGCGCCCCAGGTCGAACATGTCAGGATACTGGAGCTCAGACGACCTGGACAGCAGCGACGTGAGCAGCTACCACCACACACTGGGCCGTCTGGGCACGCACGACGGGATGCACAGGTGAGAGCTCAGGCTGTATATCCAACACGCCATCCTCCACTTTCCAAAAAGGAAGTGAGCATGGTGCTTTTCTGGCTCGATTGACTCCAATTCACTTTCGACTGAAAAACTGTAGCTCCTCTCTGTAACTCACACTGCTGTTGTCAGGCGTGTCATATTTGCTTCATATTAGCCTCCTCTACAGAGTGCAGCAGATTAAATGCATATTTCAAGACAATCGTTCACTTTGGTATAAAAACATGACATTTGGCACAGATTCTCTCTAAGGGTAATTTCAGATTCAAAATGGTGACCATTTTTCCAGATGGTCGCTATTTCTGTCAAATGCTCATTATGTCGATCATTCAAACTGTAATGTAGACAGTACATTTTATGAAAATACTCTTAAGAATACTGTTAAGAATGTTTTTTTGGAGAATGGTGCTTGTCCTTCAAAAAATCCAGATGAAAACCATTTGATGGTTGAGATGCCACCAGCATTTTTCAAGATGGCCGCCATTTCTTTTAAATCCTTGCATCAATTTATCAAATGGTGATGATGTCATCAAGATTGGTACAAACATTCTTCAAGGAATATTCTCATGGAAAAAGATGTGTGCCACTCAAAAATTCAAGATGGACACCATTTTCAGTCCTGCTCGAGTTCATTTTTGGAGACCTGCACTCACCCACACCCGAGCAGTACAACACCACACCCTCCCATTAACCAGTGGTTCTATTAAAGTTCAAACTACTCCCACCTGGACCCTTTAACATTCCACCCATTACCCACCCGTGCCCATGATAGATCAGGGTCAGCCCATTAATCCAACAGGCCAGAAGTCCAGGACTAAACCAACACTGAACCAGGACTAAACCTACGCCGTGTCATTAGTAGATTATAAATATATACACGCCACAACTGCAGACCCGATCACCAGGACTACACCAGAACTAAACCAGAACTGAACCAGAACTGAACCAGGACTGAACCAGGACTAAACCAGGAGCACATCAACTATTTGCGTGTACCCCTTGAGTATCCAGTGCAGGACTCTGAGTTAGATGAAATGAATTGACAGGTTGTGTCAGAGCGGGAGAGTCGAGCCAAGACTGAACAGGACAATACATGACTTGTTCATGTGTGTTTACCCAGAAGGTGAACAGACCACACAGGACTTAAATGACACTGGATGAATGATCAGGCAGGTGGAGGTGACCTGAACCTGGTTGTATCCCAGACATAAAAGTGAACTATGTCTATGATTGAGGTGGTAAAAGGATAAACCCTCCACCTTAATCATACAACTGTGTCAGAAAAACACAAAGAACCCTCCAATCACCTTCTACCATCATGTTTCTGAACATGATGAGTATAAAATGATTCCCACCAACATTCCACTCTTTCACAAGATCAACAAAATGCCAATGACCCTGAACCTGGAACGACTCGATGAAAGTGTTGGTATAGAAGCTACTTTGAGAAGGAAAAGTATTTCTGCCTGATTTTATGTTTGCATCACTATTTGAACAATTGAAATAATTAATCTTCTACAGGAACAGTGGCCATGTTTAAAAATGGTGGCCGTCTTGAATTTGTGACAAGCATCTTTTTCCATGATCATGTCCTTTAGAGAATATTTATATCAAATGTTCTGCTTGGATCACTTTTGAATCATTTATATAATAACCATTTAATAGCAATGGTGGCCATCTTCAAAAATGGCCGACATATTGAATTTTTCAGTGAAAACCTTTTTCAAAATAGTGGCCCTTAGAGAGAATCTGTGCCAAATTTCATGCTTTTATACCAAAGTGAACGATTTTTTTTCACTAACCTGCTGCACTACATAATTAGTTGTCATACAGGAAGTTCTTGGGTCTAGTCACAAATTCAGCAGACTCTAGAAGTGAACACAATATATTGTTTATACAGGCTTCTCCTTCTCTTCCAGCCCTCAGCAGAGGTACATCCACAGCGGTTACAACACCATCAGCTCGTCCAAAAGCAGCGGAGATATGAAGTTCTCCACCCTGGCAAGAGGGGAGGGGCTTGGGGGAGTGGGAGGACTGGGGACTCTGAGCGTCTCTGACCAGGACTATGTCAAAGGAGGGTCCTGGTCCGCTCTCACCATGGGCCAGCCACCGCGTCAGCTCCTCCAGCAGGGGGCGCACACACTGGATCGCTCCATGCTCAAGTCCAAATCCTGCCAACAAGATCTCAGCACCAACTACCTGCAGGTCGGGAGGAGGGTGAGTGAGAAGTGTTTTCAGAAGTATTGAAAATATGATACTGATCGACTAAAATTAGTATCAAAACATTTGAACAGCTATCGATACCATTCACATTGACAGGATGGAAATGAACCGTTCCTGAATGACTGTAGAATGATGTAGAGCTGTATCAAAACAAGTAGAAGAGCACATAGACTAGTACACACACATGGACCTACCTGGACCACTGAGGGAGCACATCGATATAAAGATGTTCATATACAAGAAAGTACTGCCATTTAATATTGAAAATCACATTCTATTGTCTATTGTCGACATTTGGATTCACAGAATGAGCTGGTTTTAAAGCTACATTGACACTGGTAGTTTATCTTTTTATTTTCCTGAAAAACAAATCATGAGGTGAACAGCATGTCAAAGCCTAAGTGCTCTGCTTCTGGATTAGCACTTCCCTTCAGTGACAGTTCAGTTCATTTAAACTGTTCTGTTGTATTCAGTTCTCAGCAGGAGTGGCCTTGCAGGGTCTACCAACATGAAGACCTAATGAATCCAACAACATTTCCCAAAACTTTCCATTTAACCAACAAAAGTTAGAAAATCAAACTTCATTGGTCCTTAACAGACAGACTAACCTTTTTCTAATCTCTTCCCAGCACGACTGGAGCAGCAGCTTAGGCAGGGCCGGGGTTATGGGGCGGGGCGTTGCCATGGAGATCCCGTGTCGGAGAATGAGGAGCGGGAGTTATGTGAAGGCCATGGGCGACATAGCTGACAGTGACGACTCCGACCTCAGCCCCAAACCCTCGCCCAAGAGCGCCGCCCGGAGGCAGAGCTACCTAAGAGCAACGCAACAGAGTCTGAGCGACCAACTGCCCCCGAGGAAGTAAGTACTATTACCATTACTGCTACTACTACTAGTGCTAGTGCTACTACTACTACCACTACTACTACTACTACTACTACTACCGCTGCTACCACTACTTCTACTACTGCCCACAGTACAGTACAGTAAGAGACCAAATATAAAATATGTCTATCTGTGTGAAGATGACCCCCCATCAAACACAAAACTGCACAAAATCTATGTCAATCGTTTGTGCTACAAAAAGTTCTGTTTGTGCTGTTTTCGTTTTTGAGATATTAATGATTTTTTTATAGGTCAGATTAAGGTCAGCCAGGCCCCAGGTAGCTTCAAAATGCTCTAAAACACCACAAAATGGTGCCATTCATTTGTACTTCATTCGTGCTGTTTTGTGCTGCAATTATTATTTTTGTGGACATTCTTTGAGGTCAATTGCGCTGAGCTGACGACAGCGACTTTAACAAAACTCCACAAAACTAGTAAAGAGGAATGACCTGAGGCTATGGAAAAGTTTGTATCAGTCTTTAGGAATTTGCTTTTGATTCATATTTGATATAATTATACAGACTTTTCCACAGCCTCAGATTGTTTCTCTTCACTAGTTCTGTGGAGTTTTCAGCTGTCAGCTGAGAAGAATTTATGTTATATAATTTCCACAAAAAAGTGCTCTGTCTGACTTAAACGACAGTGAAAATGAGATGCATTTTCTGTACAACTGTCCTTTGTATCATGACCTGCACTGTCAGTTCTTGTCTAATGTGTCTTACTGTTGGTTTGCTGTGTCTGATGAGGAGAGACTGGAGGATTTGTTTAAATGTAATGTTTTCAAGTTGGTTCAGTTTGTGTTAAAAGCCTAGGGCCACCGTAAAAGGACACTTTCTGTTTGATGTGTGATCTGCCTGCTTATTGTTTTATGTGTCTTATAAACCCATGCGGACTGGGCACCAACTGGTGCATGACACTAAATTAGTAAAATAAACTAAAAAAAATAAATAAAAAATCTTAAGAACCAGAATCACACAAACAAAAGTTTTTGCAGCACAAAACAGCACAAACAAAGCCAAACAACTGACAATATTTTGGGCCATTTTACGATTTTAGAGCATTTTGAAGCTTCCTGGGGGCTGGCTGACCACAACTGAATTGTTAATATCTGAAAAACTAAAACAGCACAAACAAAACTTTTTGCAGCACAAAAGAGCACAAGAACACTGAGTACAAACATAACTTTTGTGTAGGCTTGTGTTTGATGAGGGCTCAACTTCACAGAGTTAATAAAACTGGTGTTGTATAAGGAAACATATTTATTGTGCTCTCTTATCCAATCATCTCTGGCTCCTCCCTAGAGCTAAAGTGACCCAGACACTCCTGAGGTACTAACACCAGATACTAATCAATACTAAAACTAGTATCAAAACTAGATACTCATTTGAGCAGGTATCAGTATTAAAAGTCACATTGACAGGACAGAAATGAACCTTTCCTGAATGTTTTTAGAATGATGTTGAGTTGTATCAGAACAAGTATACGAGCACATAGACTAGTATACACACATGGACCAACATGAACCTACTGCACACTGACCATTACACACATATAACACACATGGAATAGAAAAGAAAGTTTGGTGTTTGTCATTTAATGCTGACAATCACAACCTCTTGTCGAAAGAAAGAATGTTTTTATTATTATCAAAATGAAGTATCGAGTCTCTTCCTTAATATTGAAATTGAGTGTAAAATTCCAGTTCCTAAGCAAATCAGAGGAAATGGCTTTTACAGCAGAAGACCTTTGTTCCTATTTCACCTCCACATTCTGTCCCCTGGTGGTCCTAGTAGTTTTGTCTCTAACACTCTGCCCCCTGGTGGTGGCACGCAGCAGGACAGTTGACTGGAGCTTTCTTCATGGACACTCTCTGGATGTGCTCTGGTCCCCGGTGCACCACAGCGCCCCCCTGTTGCAGCAGATGGGCAGGTCCATGAGCAGGTCAGTCAGCGAGGGGCACTGGAGGAGACAGAGCTTAAAGAGCTGACTGTTTGTGGCTCTGTGCAGCTCCTCCACGAGAATGAACATAGCGAGAAAGTTCATGTAGATTAAGTTAGCAAAATCATTCATCTCATGTGCCCACTGTCCACCAATAGAAAACTTTAGGCTATTTAAAGGTGCAATATTGCATAAAAGAGCTTTAAGGCATGTTATAATATTGTTATCTCATCAAAAACATACCTGGAGTTTTTTTTGTTTTTGTTTAGTTTTTTCATTTACACATGTTTCAGTTCCAGGGCTGAAATAATCAATTATCTAAATGATTCTAGTAAAGTTGTACTGAGTTTAAAAACACAGTGGAGCACTTCCGGTTTTACCACATGACATCACAATGTCGAAACGTTTGTTCTGTTTGCAGATTTGCGTGTATAACATGTGTGAATGAAACAAAAACAACTCCAGACATGTTTTTGATAAAGAAAAAAAGCAGTAAAGCATTATTATTTTTCATCACTCTAGTTGCATGGTAAGATTTTATACTGCTTATTGTAAGGGTAGAAATATCAAGGTTTATGGGCAAGTGTTTTTCCTTTGTTTTGTTTTATTTTAAGTTATAGGTGAAAAAGGTAAGTGGTACTTTCACAATTGTTAATTAATTATTGTATTTTTTTAAAGATGCAAGTTCTTAAAGACTCTGTACCTGATTTTTACAGTACATGAAAAAACAGAACTTGTTCATTTTAAACAGGTTGCAGTTTTTCAGAGTAATTCCTTATGCATTTTCACCATGATGAGTTTATAAACCATGGCAGAAAAGATAATAACTATTACACAGTTGACTTATTTTAATCTCAAGAGCTGCTTACACAAAATATATGTACTGGTGCAAGACATTTTGCTCAAGTACATGGGGAAAAAAATCTGGTACAGACCCTTAAAGTCAAAGGACTAATGTTACTCCAGTTAACAAGCTTCAAGAGGCTGACACATGAGTTTTAACATTGACTTAAATAAACTGTAAAATTGTACTCAAATTACCTTTGCTCCTTCCCACTAGAGGTCTGCGCGGGACAGAATTTTTAGTCCCGATCCCGAAAAGAATTGTAATTTTCAGTTCCGCTCCCGCCCTCATCTGCGATATTTTGTCCCGCGCCTGCCCGTATGTCCCGCAGAATGACATTTGCTTTCTTAAGCTCTATCAAACACGGAGAAGCGAAAGGAATTGGGCTGCGTATGGGAGGAGGCATGGTGGGCGGTATGGCGGCATAGTTAATTCCTGGCTAAATCCTGTTTTAGTCCTGGTTTTAGTCCTGGTTTTAGACCTGTTTTTAGATAAATATTCCCTGAAAATATACCCAAAGTTGTGTTGTGTTTTCTGTGTTGACATTTGAGCACAGCTTCACTCCTCAGTGCACCAACAGCTGGAGTCCTTGTGCTAACTGCTGGTATTTTAAATGCACCACTAAATACCAACATATACATACTAATGACAGAGTTTGTTTAGTGAAACACCAAAGCTTACATAGACCTTTCAGCTGTTCACTGGAGACCTGCTCCTCCATCACTTTGCACATCACTGTAGAATATATGTTCATACCAGACTCATTTAAGCCCTGTAGGAAGAACTGTGGTGTTAAAAATGCTGACAGTCCTTTTTCCTCCTTCCATCTCATTCTCTCCTCCTTTCTTCCTTTCTTCTTTTGTTCCTTTATCTCTTCTCCTCCTCCTTCTCTTCCTCTGCTACTCTCTCCCCTGCTCCTCCTATCCTGCCTCTGTTCCTTTCCTCCTCCTTTCTTCTTCTCCTCTCCTCTCCTCCTCTCTCCTCCTCTTTCCCTTTCCTCCTCTGTCTCCTCCACAGCTGTCTTCCATCCCTCCAGGAGTTGTCCTCTAACCCTCCCCTGGATCAGATGCACTCGTTGGGGGGAGAACGTTTGGATTCTCTGGGTGGGACAGTCTCTTCTGGATGGGACGATGATGATCTAAGAGAAGCCGTGAGCTCACTGGCCCGCCGCAGTGGCATGGGACAGGTACAACGGTTTAAGCATCGTTACGTAACACAGGGGTAACTTTAAAGGGCTCTATTGCGTCCCCCTGCAGTACCTTCACAGGCCCCCCTGTTGAAAATCTCTGCTTTAAACGGAAGCTTGACGGTCCATTCTTTGGGCATGACACTTTTAGATATGATCCATACATGTTTGAGTACTGATACTTTCAGCTGATGTCATCAACATTCCCTGGACGTGTGAAGTTAACTGAATGCACTATTTTGTTAAAAGTACTGTTACACATGTTAGACTTTAATCTGAGCTTCATTTTAACACAATCTGACGAGAAAGAGGTGGCTTGGTTGGAACTACAACATCTGAGCTGTTTGTGCTCTTAAAAAAGTAATTCAATTTGAACCTTTCTCAGGAGTAATATTCTGTACAAGACTCTGTCCACAAGTCTATATCACCCAAGCCTCTGCACTGCAATTCTCCAAAGACATACAAAAGCATGAAACAAAACTGTGCACTACAACTTCACAAGTCTGATAAGATGTGCAATAGTTTTATTAGCAGGGTGCTCGCTGATGATGTTGTAAAACTGGCAGCCTTTGCTTTGAGACACAATGAGCTGAGAGAATGTATTATTCAGCTTTAGCCCTGCAGTCAAATGTTCCGCAGTGTCATTTGTGAATGTAATGTTGCTGACACGGGGCTTTTAGCTTTTAGGGACAGGCTTGATAACTCTATGAATATAACTCTGAATATTCAAATCAGTTCATTTTCAGTGAAGCAGAGGAGAGCTATTTTTGGCTTGGCGGCACTTGACTCTTAGTAAAATGTGTCATGTTTTTTAAACTCACTGTTTTCTGTTTTAATAGGCTTTTGATGCTTTAGCAGAGGGACGCATTTAGCTGCCCTCTGGTGTCATTTGGATGAAGAACAAGTCATTAGTGTATTATATATTATATGTTATATATCATATATTATATATTATATATTATTACGTAGGATCTGAATCATCCATTTGACACGAGCCATTATATTCACACTGATATGACAAAAGAACAGATTTATAATGGGCTTCTCTAGGTTCTTCAAAGTTCATTACTCATTCAGTGTTCAGTCACAGTTGCCCTGGGGCTAACTGACGACTGAGATGTGGCTGCAGTTCTGTGCCTACTACTTATGGTCTGTTTTATGACCCTGTCACTAACTACACAAACATATTCAGTATTATTCACACATTCACACATTATTCTGAGCATTCAAAATATTCTAAATAACTCTCAATATTCACTGTGGTGAATTTACTCTCAGGGCCAGAGGGGAGTTTTGCCATCACGGTAATGCTGACCTGATACATCAGTGTCCTGATTTTCCTGAAAATCACTGACTGTGTATATTACAGACATCGCCTGGTCATTCTGCCCTTATGGCTATAAGCAAAAATCCCCACCCCATCCCCAGAGGAAGGGCACTACCCACTTATTCCCTATGCAGGCACAGTCCAGTCTGAGCTGTAAATCTAATTCCTGCCTCATCAGATTTGCACCAATTTTAAGTCACGTCAATAAGATTACACTGATAAATGGCTCTCGAGAGCTGTGAATGTTATGTCCATAATAAACTAAATCTACAATTACAACATATCTGTACTGGAGCAAAACACATTTGAACTGCATGGACATAACTTGGGTACAGGTCCTTTAAGTACACATGAGCACTACATCCAGTACATTCCCCTCATGATGTCATTCATGTCTCTCTTCTGGCACAGCTGCGGGGCATGGACAGTGGACCATATGAGGACCACAGTTCTGAGTTCTCCTTCAGAGACGCTCAGGACTCGCCCCCCGACCTGCCCTCTGACTTCCCCCCTCACCTGCCTCCCGATCTGCCCCGCCCCTCCTGCTTCCGCTCACGCAGCCACAGTTACCTGAGGGCGATCCAGGCCGGCTGCTCCCAGGACGAAGACTCGCTGTCCCTAGAGTCCACATCCCCACCCCCAACAGAGAGCAGTGTGAGGACCTACAGTACCAGTACAGGTGAGACTACACTACCCACAATGCACTGTTTTGAATATAGCGCTATACTTATAGTCTCTATTCACGCTTACGTCACAAACCAACATTGGAAACATGTGATGTCGTGATGACAACTTCCGGCGGGTTCTGTTTATGGTCATAAGTCTGACAAAATATAAGAAAAATTAGAACCCAGTTTTCTTCATCTCCATTTTATTGTATTGTTTTATTATGTTCAGCTAATCAACAATTCCATCCAGACCTCAGTTTTCATCATTTCCCCACTGACACACAACTCCGAGTGCACTTGATTAGAAGAAATGAGGGGACAAATTCCAGATGATTCCAAACAGCAATCAGAATTATTCAACCTCCACTGCAGGTTAGGTTTATTGGTAAAATGTAACTAAAACTAGCAGCTGTTGTTGTTTTGAGACTGCAGCTGACTACTGCAGTCTCAAAATTATTCAACCCCTTGATGACAAGCACCCCTCTTTAGAGCTCCCTTTTGCTCTTATGAAATGCTGCAAACGTGATGCATAGCGAGACACCAGCTTCTTGCAGGGTTTCTGAGGAATCTTAGCTCATTCCTCAAGGGTAAAGGCCTCCAGTTCTTAGGGTTGCGTGCTGCAACCGTCAAGTCCCACCAAAGATTTTCAGTGGGGTTGAAGTCAGGCGACTGTGATGGCCTCTCTAGTATCTTCCCGGACTTCTTCTGAAACCAAGCCTTGGTGGATTTTGAGGTACGCTTGGGATCATTGTTCTGCTGGAAGGTCCAGTGGCCCCTAACCTTCAGTTTCCTCACAGATGGCATGAAATTTTCTCTTGGGATTTCCTGATACTTGATTGAATCCATCTTGCTGCAGGTTTCCAGTGCCAGAAGTGAAGCAGCCTCAGACCATCACTGAGCCACCACCATGCTTCACTGTAGGCAAGGTGTTCTTTTCAACATAGGCTTGACTCTTTCTCTCCCAGACGTATTGCAGATCCATAGACCCAAAAAGTTCCAGTTTTGTTTCATCACCCCACAGAACAGAATCCCCAAACCTATTTAACTTTTTTATATGGTTTTGAGCTAATTGGAGCGGGCTTTTCTTGTGCCTTTGGGTCAGTAGTGGTGTACATCTTAGAGTTCGGTCATGGAACCTTTCAGCATTTAATATGGGCCTTACTGTGGAAACTGAAACCTCAGTGCCTGTTGCCACCAGGTCTAGCTGCAGTTCTTTTGCAGTCAGTCGAGGTTTTCTTAGCACCTGCCTCCTCAGGACTCAAGTGGCAGCCGTTGCTAGTTTCCTCTTTCTGCCACATCCAGGTCGTGTAGCCTCTGTTCCTTTAACTTTGACTTTCAAACTCTGCTTCCAACTGTACCTCGAGGAACATTTATTGCCTTTGCTTTATTTTTGTATCCTTTTCCGTGTTCGTACAAGGCAGTGATCTTTTCACTGAACTTTTTGGACAATTCTCTTGACTTAGCCATATTTCTAACATGCAATGAAATGCCACCGTCAACAGTCCAGATATTTTATATATTTATAGGGGTTCTGTCAAGTACACCTGATGCAACTAATGAAGCCCTTGATTTGCAAAAGTGTGCTCTGATGAGGAATTCTATTCAAGGGGTTGAATCATTCTGAGACTGCAGTAGTTATTAAAAGTAGCATTTTGTGTTGAATTTGGAGAAACCACTTGTAATATTAGTTGTGTTGAGCTATTTAAATTGTTCTTATTATTTTTTGTAAACAGCTGCTAGTTTGTACTTTTTACCAATACACCTCATTTGCAGTGGGGGTTGAATAAAATTTTGTACGTATGCAGTCTTACCACTGATCACATTCACTTTAGTGGGTTTGATCACAGTCGGTGGGTGAGTCCAGTGTCAGGAACTACACCAGAAGATGTCATCACATGTTTCCAAATGTCTTCCTGGTTTGTGACGTAAGCTTGAATAGAGCCTGTTTGAGATGAGATAGGCCTGCACACATCTGATCAGTGACTCTGGTGTCATTGATAAATCTGCATCAAAAACCAAAGACAGATGCAGCTGCCTGGTGCAGCTACTGCAGTTTGATGGGAGCCAGGAGCAACTACCTTGTGGATAGCATAAAAGAGCCCACCTGCGAGCAGAGAAAGCACTTGACTGCAATGAATGAACATGTCAGCAGTGAAAATCCCTTTTTGTCCCTAGGTCATATATAAACATTAACCCTCTCTTATCCAGGGTTGCTCTCACTAGCATTAGCAGTACTGGCCACAGATTTTATTGACAGCTATCACAGCTCGTTGCTAAGTGCCTGCCCTGTCACAAACCAGCCATGTGGGCAGGAAGAGGCGTGCACCTTCAGCAACCTCTCTCCTGATTGACTCTTTGATTTTGCACCTGGATTTACAAATTTGAAACTTGACTCCAGATTAATTGTCATAACTGCTAGCCTCAACTGGCTTCATTTGTCTGGAGCCGAAGAACTCAGAACTGCTCACAAAGCAGTTAAAACCATAAAACCCTTATGAGCAGGTAAATGTCCAGGCAACAGTTACATGAAAAACAGGTCTTCTCTGCTGCCCTCTTACTTATATATCATATTTATGCATGGCCGAAGCACAGGCTAGTTCCAAATACATCAAATCATAGCTCCTAGATCCTAGCTTCTAGCCCCTAATTCCTTTACCTTTGGACGTCATGGGGTTGACCATAAGAGAGGAGAAGGAACTTCAGCTGCATTTGGAGAATTCAACCATCCTAACTAGTGCAGGAACAACAGAGAAGCCACGTGAACCCTGCAGTTATTTAATTAAAAAATAAAACACCCACAAAACATTATTCGATATTATTCACATTGCTCAGAATTTAGGAGGAATATTTTCATTATTATCTGTGGTAAATTTAGAAGTGTGCTTCACAACTATCAGGGATCAGAGGGGTGTTTTGCCATCATGGTAATGCTAAATGTGTTTAGGGTTAACAGTGTTTGCACATGAGACATGATGCTGTTGAATAAGGAAGAAGAAGAACTAAAGAAAGAAAGATAAGACACAGACTGTATGACCTGTAAACATGAACCACCAACAACATCTGGATATGCGCCCATGCACAGAAGAGAATAAATATATTCTCCAGACTCATCACCTTCAGTCTCCGCTTTGTTCTCTGTCCCAACAAATATTCCTACCAAATCCTGTCCTTTAGTCCACGGGCAGTGGAGAGTAGAGCAGAGTACTCTCTCCTTCATCTTATGCAAATGAGCCATCTGGCTTTAAGTTTCGTTTCAATAAAAGTAAACAGTGTGCGCAGATCTCCCCTTATGTCATTGTGTGGTCTACAGATAAAGCACATGAAGCTGTGATGGCCCTAAAAGCTTTTATTTTCATGCTTATATAAAGGATTTTGTTTGTTTTGTTTTTTTTCCAGGCATTTGCATTGTATGTCTGAGGCAATGAAGTTAACTAAATAAGTTAACGTATTACCAACTCTTCATGTCGTGGAAACCGGCGCAATCTACTGTGGGATGCCTCATAGCTGTTAGGCAACACAGTAGTGGACCCCAAAAAAGACTCAAAACGAGGACAAAAATGCAAAAAGTGACAAAGGCTTATTGACTCAGAAAGATACGTGGTAAAGGGTGAGTGTTTTGGCTTAAGGAGCTAGGAGTTTAGAGGCCAATGTGATGTATTCGGAGCTAGCCCCTTTTTCCCTCAGTGAACTGGGGTCAAACAAGATGGTTCCTACAAACAATAGTCAGTCAACACCTCCCACTTTTACCTTTTGAAACTTTTTGTTTAATCATTTATTTTGATATGTTCTTTAATGTTTTCTTTTAATCCCATGTTTTCCTTTATTTTAAACCTTGATTTTGACCCTGATTCCAAACGATTACACCTCAAACCGCCCCTCACCTGTTGCCTGACCCTCCTTCATCTGTTGGCCATTACCTGTTGCCCCTGCTCCTGACTTGCTGGCCCTCATCTGCCACCTTTGCCACCCCCATCACTGCAGATGACCTCTCGGCTCAGTGGACTCAGTGGAAGTATCAGTTTGGCTCATACCTGAGGGCCACAGGTTTGGACAAAGCTCCTAAAGAGAAACAGCTGGCTGTGTTACTGCAGAGACTTGACCTGCACCTGCCCCAAACCTCTGATCAGGCCCCTGATCAGGCCCCTGCTCACCCTCCTGCTCGGGCCCCTCTTGGAAACAAGAACAGGACAGGTAACAAGAGACAGAAGAAAACATACAGGATTTAGTCAGCAAATATGAGGTGAAATGGATGAAATCTGATGTGTTAAGTTGGCGTGAAAGAGCAGTAAGAGTAATAATATTTGTATTGGTACTTGCGTTTTACTTGTTTGTTTTGCATCAAGCATCTGCCCTCAAATGCAAAGTCTCCAACTAGAGGCATTTGATGTGATTTTTGTTGCTCACACCATATCAGACTTAGACTCGGAATACAGACCTGCTTTTCTCCAAGATTGTTAAGTTTTATATCATTCTGTGGAATTTTAAGGATGGTGGTCAAATGTGGTTACAAGGCTTGCGGTTGGATCATCTGTTTTTCTCCTTTTTCTCTCTTTCTCTCTCTCTCTACAGTCTCCACCTGCGTCTCCACCTGTAAGCGCACCGCCCCTCCCCCCGTGCCCCCCCGCACCACCTCCAAACCTTACATCTCTGTCACAGTCCAGAGCAGCACCGAGTCAGCCCAGGACACATACCTGGAGCGGGAGGAGGGGCGGCGGTCTGACAGGGAGGAGGGGCGGCGGTCTGACAGAGAGGAGGGGCGGCGGTCTGACAGAGAGGAGGGGCGGCGGACTGACAGGGAGGAGGGGCGGCGGACTGACAGGGAGGAGGGGAGGCGGACTGACAGAAAGGACGGGCGAAGGTTGGAACGAGAGGTAGGTTTACAATAATAACAATATTGACTTAAAATGTGGGGTATTATGCTAATAGGGGGTTTTATTTGTACCATGTTAAAATGTTGTTCTCTGAGCAAACACATGCCTGAAGAGTTTTAGATGTCATCTGTGCATGTTTGAGTAACCTAGTGATCTCTCCTGGACCTGATTTGAACCCTCCTCATGGTTAGCAGTACGTTCTGTGCAAGGCTCCATCCACAAGCCTACATCATGTTCCCACACAACAATTCTCAATAAATATTATATCTCTATCTAATTAATTACTGGCTTTGTAATTAATTCATCTCAAGTAACTGCATAACAATATTTGCACCAAAAGCATTACACATGACATTTAAAGCTTTTTTAGGCACTCACACTTAGGATTCCAAAACCACGGATCGCCCCTAAAGCGCAGTACGTATGTCTAATGTGAGCGCAACAGCACGGTTGAGACTTTGGCCCGGTTGGAGGAAATGAGCCAAAGCACGGCACGGAGCTCATGTATGAGCACATGCACGACTTCACTATACGAGCCCTGTGTGTGCGCTGATGTTACTCATATGAGGAAAACAGTGAATAAAGTCTGCTCCAAAACATACGGCAAATATGCACTGAGGACTGCTGACAATGACAGAAGTTTTGCAGCCTCATTTCCTCCTGTCCTTTCTCCTTCGACTGTTTTTATATCCATAAACTCAGGGAGAAACGTGTATCACAGCAGAACTAATATCTGTCCATCCATCCATTTTCTTCGGCTTATTCAAGGCCAGGTCACGGGGACAGCAGTCTAAGCTGGGATCCCCATACTTCCTCCCAGGCCAGCCGAGAGACATAGTCCCTCCAGGGTCTTCCCAGGGGCCTCCTCCCGAGGAAGGCACCCAGGAGGCACCCAGAAAAGATGCCTGAGGCACCTCAACTGGCTCCTCTCGACGTGGAGGAGCAGCAGCTCTACTCTGAGCTCCTCCCTTGTGACTGAACTCCTCACCCTATCTCTAAGGGAGCACCCAGCCACCCTGCGGAAGGAAACTCATTTTGACTGCTTGTATCCACAATCTTGTCCTTTCGGTCACTACTCAGAGCTCATGAGCATAGGTGAGGGGAGGAACGAAGACTGACCGGTAAATCGAGAAATCAGGTTCAACTATCAGTTGGATTCTCCTCTTCAGTACCCTTCCATAGACCTTACTAGGGAGGCTGAGGAGTGTGATTCCTCTGTAATTGGAACACAGCCTCCGGTCCCCCTTCTTATACAGAGGGACCAGCCCCCCAATTTGCCAGTCCAGAGGTACTGTCCCCGACCGCTACTCGATGTTGAAGAGGCGTGTCAACCAAGACAGCCCCACAACATCCAGAGACTTAAGATACTCAGGATGGATCTCATCCACCCCCGGAGCCTTGCCACCAAGGAGCTTGCCAACCACCTCAGTGACTTTTTCCACAGTGATGGACGAGTCCACCTCCGAGTCCCCGGTCTCAGCTTCTTTCTTGGAAGACGTGACGATGGGATTGAGGAGATCCTCAAAGTATTCCTTCCACCGCCCGACAACGTCCCCAGTTAAGGTCAACAGCTCTCCCTCCACAATGTAAACAGTGTTGGTGAAGCACTGCTTCCCCCTCCTGAGGCACCGGACAGTTTGCCAGAATCTCTTTGAGGCTGTCTGATAGTCCTTCTCCATGGCCTCCCTGAACTCCTCCCAGCTCAGAGTTTTTTGCCTCCGACCGCACGGGCTGCAGCACGCTTGGCCCGCCGGTACCCATCAGCTGCCTCAGGAGTCCCACGAGCCAGCAAGGCCCGATAGGACTCCTTCTTCAGCTTGACAGTATCCCTTACTTCCGGTGTCCAGCACGGGATTCGGGGATTGCCACCATGACACGCACCACAGACCTTATGACCACAGCTCCGCATCGACAATAGAGGCCGAGAACGAAGCCCACTCTGACTCCCCAGCCTCCACCGGAATCTGTGAGAAGTCCTCCTGGAGGTGCGAGTTGAAAGTCCCTCTGACTGAGGGCTCCGCCAGACGTTCCCAACAGACCCTCATTACACGCTTGGGCCTGCCAGGTCTTTACGGCTTCCTCCTCCGCCAGCTGAGCCAACTCATAACCAGGTGGTGATCAGTTGACATCTCAGCCCCTCTCTTCAGTCGAGTCTCCAAGACACGCCACCGGAGGTCAGATGACACGACGACAAAGTCGATCATCGACATCTGGTGTAGGGCATCCTGCTGTGCACTGATGGGCACCCTTGTGCTCGAACATGGTGTTCGTTATGGACAAACTGGGACTAGCACAGAAGTGCAATAAGAGAACACCACTCGGGTTCAGATCAGGGAGGCCGTTCCTCCCAATCACCCCTCTCCAAATGTCACTGTCATTGCCCACATGGGCATTGAAGTCCCCTAGTAGAAGAATAGAGTCCCCGGTCGGTGCACTGTCTATTACCCCTCCCAGGGACTCCAAGAAGGCCGGGTACTCTGCACTGCTGTTCGGCCCGTAGGCCGACACCACAGTGAGAGACCTGTCCCCGACCCAAAGGCACAGGGATGCAACCCTCTCATTCACCGGGGTGAACTCCAACACACGGCGTCTGAGCTGTGGGGCAATAAGTAGGCCCACACCAGCCCGCCAATGCCAGAGAAATAGTCCCTCTCAAGGAGTTGGGTTTCAGAGCCCAAACTGTGCGTGGAGGTGAGGCCTACTATACCTAGTCGGTAACACTCAACCTCCCACACAAACTCAGGCTCCTTTTCCCCCAGCGAGGTGACATTCCATGTCCCCAGAGCTAGTCTCCATGCCCGGAGATCTGGTCGCCGAGGCCCCCATCTTGGACTGCCACCCAGATCTCTCTCCACCATGCCACTATGGATCCTCCTGCAGTTGGTGGGTCCACTGGAGGATGGCCCCACATCGCTCTTTCGGGCTGTGCCTGGCCGGGTCCCGTGGAGAAAGACCCGACCACCAGGTGCTCACTGTTGAGCACCCATATATCACTCATATCTGTATCACTATTTAATAGATATTTCTTGGTGCTGGAAAGGCAAACTCTTTTCTGCACAGTTTGGGCAAACAATGCCTTTGTCATTACTTCTATCGGGTAGTTTTTTTGAACAGAAATTTACTGTCCAGCAGACCCTGAGCTCTTTCATGCGTCAACTCTGAGTGCGTCAGTATAATTGGCATACCATAACATGATGCACTGACAAACGTTCCGTGTTGTTTGGCATGCAAACTGCAATAAAAAGCGCTAATATTTTTTATGCATTATTTTCTTTGTAACTAATTTATTGTAATTAACACGTCAATGTCCCACCCCTAATAAATATACAAAAGCATGAAACCAAAACAATACACTACAACTTCACAAACCTGATGTGATGTGCAGTAGTTTCACTAGCAGGATGTTGTGATAGCGCTCTGAAGGAGGACTGACTTAGCGTGGAGAGCAAAAGCGAGAAACTCAGAACATTAAAAAACGAAAGTGAAACTTACAAAACATGTTAATATATTGTTGGCAAATATAGCAGTAAGTTGTTAGCAGGTGTTAATATCCCATAGAAGTCTAATACCCTCTCTTTAGCAGTATTGTAGATTCGGATTTTTTATTTTTTATTTATTTATTTTATTTTTGCTTTTGGGTTATTGTTTCAGTGGCCTAAATTTGTTAGCAATTAACAATATATACTGCACTTCAAAATGTGTTGTCATGACAGGCCTACAGGGAGGAGGGTCTGCGGTCAGAGGTCACCAGCCAATCCAGCCAGGCCCACAGTAACTCCTCCGACAGCCTGGACAGCACGCACGCTAACAGCCTCGCACGCAGCATTAGACGACCTCCGCAGATCACCGCTGTCGCCAGGGAAACCAGGTGAGGAGCCAGGGCCGTCAGAAATTCTTTTAACAAATTACTCACAACATTCTACAGGCCAAATATATTTAACACAGTTGGAGGCAGCTCAGGAGTATTGCTCAAATGCAGGTTTGTGTTGTCATAGTGAGTGGGTTTGTTGGTTAGAGAAATGATCAGGTTCAACATTTGTGAATTTACCTTTTGATATTTCATGACAAAGTATAATGTGATCAGTAGATTGGCTACAAAATCACCAATGTAGAAATACACATCAAACCTTTATTTTAAGTCAGTGTCTAAGATGCCACAATGTGTTCCTTGCCTGTAAAATTTGGATGAATGGAGATGAATATTTAGCACAGGTACTGCCCCACCAAACCACCAAACAAGTCAGAGTTTGAAAAAGATGAAAAACTTCTGATATGCACTTTCTCTCCTCCGCCCCTCTGCTAGAGAACCTTTAATCCAAAGAGACACGAGAGAAGCCATCGTCCCCAACAAATCCCACGCTGCCACGGAAACCACCGACTGTGACACGAAAGGAGCTAAAGCTAACATGACGCTAACAGGAGCGGCTAAAACTAACACCACGCTAACACCAGATGACCCGCAGGAGGCACCTGCCCCCAGGAGGAAGCTGTCCTCCATAGGCATCCAGGTGAGAGGGAGGGCATGTGTGTGAGAGAGGAGGATGAGAGAGGACTTCCAGGACCTCTCAGCCTCCCCATGTTGTCTGGGGTTGTACCTAATAAAATGTCACTCCTCCAGGTGGATTGTGTCCAAGAGTCCTCTGACCCCGTTCCTCGAGAGGACACGCCCCCGCTGAGCCGATTCCAGTCCATCGGGGTCCAAGTGGAGGACGGCTGGCAGTAAGTCTATGTGTGGAGAATCCATGCTGCAGCTCTGTACTCTGGTCTGAACTCTTTAGAATGTTTAAATTCTCAAAGATTTAGCACATTGCTCTGATTGGTCAGAACTGGTCACACAGCACATGCTTCTGTTGTCAGTTGGTTGGGGGGCCGATTGAGGGAATACATAAAGAGGAAGAAAGTTTTTTTGTTTTTTTAATCATGTACCAATGTGTGCAGGCCACTGAAACAACATGACGCCATTTTTGTTTCAGCTTCAGATCGTATTATACTTCCATGGCTTTGACATATTCTATAATAATGATGCCCATGAACCAGTCAGCATGAGTCTGATGTTGGCACAGGTGTCTGGGGATCCTCCCCCTGGTATTTCTGTGCAAAACAGAAGTTATTCCATGTACTATGTAGTTTAAAGCAGTGTTTCCCAATCTTTTTATTTTTTTTATTTTTTTTCTGGGGACCCATATTTTAAAAGTCACAAACCTTCATGACCCAAGTCAATAGACATTATTTGTAAATCACAAAATAAAGGTGAATATGACCATTATTGAACATTAATGGAGATATTTTAATTAACAAATATAGCTGCAAGCAGCAATACGGAGGCCTTGCAGTGTAGCTGCAGAATAGACAAGAGCAGGAATGGTAACACACGCACAATGAAATTTCATTTTTAATCCAAGCAGATAGATATGCCTTAAAACATGTTTTTGCCAATTAAAACACTCCCTAGAGGTCAAAGGTTACAAAACAGTTTGAGAGTCCAGGGTAAGTCACCACAGGACCATTTATGCAGTTTGGTGCCAATACGTCAAAGCGTCTCTGTGCAGCGAGCTCACTTCCTGTTTGTCCAAATTTAACCAGCTGGTGGCGCTATAGCTCTTGAGGTAGAGACCCAGAAATGACTGAAATTGATCATGGGCCTGACCTGAATCAACATGCCAAATTTCATAGCTTTATTCCAAGGCGTTCTATGGGATACCCAACAAAGAGCATTTTTGAATAAATTCAACATGGCCGCCAAATGCAGATGGTCACGTGATAAACATTTTAGGACACGTATCACCGAGTCAAACAGCATCAGCAGACACAGGAATTTTCTTGGAAATCCAAACAGATCAAGAGATCACTTAAAACATCTTTTTGCTAAGTATAGCTACCCCTAGAGGTCAAAGGTCATAAAGATTTGTGAAAATTGGACAAACAGGTGAATAGTTATAAGTCCTGCAGCTGCATTGCAAGGCCTCCAATAATACAAAACATGTCTTAACATTTGAACATTTCTAGTGAGACAGGTGGTCCTATCAGGAGGAAAGCACAACACACATATCGTGTCAGAAGTGTGTATTACAGAACTACATGCAGACTGTGACAAGACCACCCAAAAATAAGTCTTTGGGAAAGAATTGTTTAGATGAATCCAAATGCACACACAGTGATTCTCATTGGGCTGCAAGCACCTTCAAGGGATGCAAAACGAATATCATACAGTATATATTATATAATTAAAATGTTGTAAGTTGCACTCTTGGATTTACGCTCATATTTGTTTCAGTGTGAATATGAGGCAGGGTGTCCAAATATTAAAAAATGACCCAAAGCTTAGATCATCTTTATAGATTCTAGTATGTTTCCAAAGTCAGTGATTTCTCACGCAGAACAGAAGAAGAGTCTTAAGTCCCTCAGTGTCTCCAGCTCCTCTGGGCTGCAACACACACTGTGATCTATAACAGTGAATCTTAACCACAGGGCCAGGGCCCAAAGTAGGGCCAGGACCACCTCCTTGGGGGCTGCACAATCAGTACATTATAATGCATTTAATATGAGATAGGGCCCCAGTTTACTTTGTTCAGAAAAAGCCAGGCCCCAAGATTTAAAAGGTTAAAAACCACTGATCTATAATATAAAAATATCACAATATCACCAACACTTCTGGACAAGACTAACCCCTTTCTGCAAATGCATTTTATTTTTGTTCATTTCAGGAGTCGGTCCAGCAGCATGACCAAACAGGACACTGACTCTGACACTCAGGAAGTCCCACTCCCTTTGTATAAGCCCCAATCAAAACCCTCAGAGAAGAAAGTGATGGTCAGCTGTGGCAGCCAATCAGTGGCTCAGGACTCTCTGGACCAGGAAGTGCCCACCCCCTCGACCCCACCCATCACACGGCAGATCCTCAACAGGTGCTGTTTTTTATGTTAAAGTTAAAATGCAAAGTATGTTTATGATGACAGAACTTTCACAAATGTATTAGAGAACATAGATCAATCTAACAGGTCCTGTTTTCTTAGATAAGTCCAGGGTGTGACTTATGGTGAATTATTGAACAATATGAAATGAATTGTAATCGCAGCATGTTCTTTGCTGCACAGGTCTACCACCCGAAGCAGCTCCGACTCCTTCTCAGAGAGCTTAGATCCTACTTTAGATCCTACTCTAGATCCCAGTCTGGACTCTGGTCTAGACCCGGCCTTGGACCCGTCCTGCCTGCCCCCTCCGGACCCGTGGCTGGAGAGTGGGGTGTCGGGGGGAGGCGGAGCAGCAGTCTCTGGGGGAAACCTGTGCCGACGTGATGGGCAGTGGTTCCTGAAGCTCCTGGAGGCTGAGAGAGGACGCATGGAGGGTTGGTGTGAGCAGATGGAGCAGGAGACACAGCACCACCAGCTGTCAGAAGAAGGTTTGACACTCACATAGATTTCATCATGTGCCAGTGACACAAGGAACTGCCTTTTGTTGTTGTTTTGCTTTTTATAGAATAGTTATCTTACTTTTAATTGTATAGTTCTGTACAGTACAGTACAGGCACCTGTTCTTTACTTTATTTTAAATCTTTTTTCCTGTACAGTTTTGGGGAAAGTGCAAAGTGCAGTGAGCAGTGCTCAGCTCCTCATGTCTCAGAAGTTCTTTCAAATTCTACTGAAATTCTTAAACAAAACAGTTTGAGAAAATAAATTTAATTTCACACATTCCTCTGTGAGTTTGTGTGTGAAATAAACTAAAACTTAAAACAAAACTGTAGTTTGTTGTTGCTGCTGATCTCAAACAAGTGAGTACATGACCGAACACATGACAGAATATAGATCAGTCAAGGTAGTTGATAGCTTGACTTTATTTTCACAATTTTATTCCCCACAAATAGTTTAAATGTTTTTTGGTAGTTGAAACCTTAGTTTGGTATTCATTTAAAGTAAATAAAGTCAACAACGTATCATAAGGTTTATTTTTACAAAAACACTCAACACCATGTTACTGTAATCATAAAACACATGAAATATTACTGCTTGGCCACACTGCACGTGTCAGTGTTTACATACATAACCTCACAAAACCATAGCCGTGCAACGACGTGAGGACGGTCACACCAGCAGCTCCAGCAGGAGGAATATGCATGGGCTTTGTGTTTATCAATGGGAAAGATGATCAGACTTGACTGAGCGTGTTTCTCCACTTGTATAGGTCTACATTAAAAACAACACACTGAATAGGCCTTTTTGAGCCTGGGCTAAACGATACAGAATGGCCCCAGGAACACATTGTGCTGATGTTAAATGCACAAATACAGCAACAGATGCATGCAAGATCATTTGTTCCATTAGATTTTGAATTTCAGATACCGTTGAATTCATCACTTTGAATTTTTTACTTAAAAAAAAGATGTTTGAATTATTTTTAGTTGCTGAAATAAGTATACTTTTTCAAAATATTTCAAATTCAAAATACACATTTCAACTACGAAATGTAGCAAATTTTTGACAAAACATTGAGAATCATAAGGGAAAAGGAGAATGAAATGACCAGGATGAGTGTTTAAATGCCATTTCCTGGTTGACTGTCCTGTGTTCCTCTTCCTCCACAGGACCCCCTCCTCTCGCCTCGCCCCTCCCCTCAGGACCTGGCCGGGTTCTGGGACTTGCTTCAGGTCTCCATCGAAGACCTCAGCCTCAAGTTTGACGAACTCTACCACCTCAAATCCAATGAGTGGCAGCCCCTCGAGAGGAAGGTACTGCCCCCTGCTGGCTGGGGTAGGAAAGCCGCCGCACCGGCCCCTCTCCTCCCTCCACCACATACCCCTCGTCCTCTGCCGCACCGCCGCACAATGGACATCCTCATGATGTCAAACAAGAGCAGAATATTTATCTGGTTTGGAAAGGTTTAGGCTAAGTGAGATTGAGATATTTAATCTCTTTAGCAGCTGTAAACTTTATAAGCAAAGCTGTGTCTGGTCTGAGTCATTCTGTCACGTTTATCTTGTGATGCATTTGTGGAGACTTGCAGATTTAGTCTCGGGGGCCAATAAATCTCCGACACAAATTGGGGGTTTACTTTTTAACCCTCACGCTCTCCTCGGGGTCACATTGACCTGAAGAAACTTTTTTCCTTGCCGCTCTCTTCAGTCAGACCCAAAAATGTATTTTCAAATAAATTCTCGCCAGGCGAGAAAATAAATTTTGCATGAGGGTTAAAAAGATTGAGTTCCAATGGCCCGACTCCCACTGTTGTGATTGGATGTGGTCACTGGTGGTTCAGACCAAACACAAAACAGTGTTGTGGTTTGGGTGGACTCAGAGGTGAGGTGCCAAATCAAACACAGTGACACCAACAGTCGTACTTCAGCCTGTTCTATACATTTATGTGGAGGGAGGCACTTTGTGCTTTTGTAGAGGAAAACATGTCTGCTTTTCTCTTGCTGCTTCCTCATCAAAAACAGATCTGGAGTTTTGTTTTGTTTTATCCACACATGTTTCACACACAAACTCTACATTTAGGCTGAGCTCTTCTCTCAAACAGAACACACTCCTGTCATGTGGTAACTGAGGAAACTCTATTTAAACTTTATACATCTTCACTAAAAACAAATGGATACATTCAGACTTTGAAATGCCAGTCTCCACTGAACTAAAGGGAAAAGGTAACAATGTGGGTGAACTGTCTTGCCTAAGGACACAACAACAGTTTTTTTGCAACTGGCAGCCCCCTGTAGCCCCTGACAGTGGTCTCCCATCCATGTCCTGACCAGACTGCTGAGCTTCTGAGATCTGACAGGATCAGGCTTTGACAAACCTGTATGACCACATGAGACATGCAGCCAAAAGCGGCAGATACAAAGCACAACAAATGCAGCCTGGAGCACGCATGGACGGTAAAGTGCTTTCTCTAGTTGGAAATACACACATTTATTATTTGGCCTTAGTCAGTACAAGTGGAAAGAATATTGTGTTCCATTGTCAACAATGTAGTGGAGGCAAGACAGAAAACTCCACACCAAACCTCTGCAACAGTTTGCAATAAAGTTCTTATTGCAGTAATTTGTTTAATTGAATGAAAAACACAACTCCAGGTAGTTATCTCCAGTAAGGAGGTAATAATTTAATGTAATAATTTAATAATTATAATTTAATAATTTAATGTAATAATTTAACTTTTTTTTTTTTTTTCCATAATTGTCACAATGCTCCACCTTCTCCAGTTTGCTTTCAGAGAGAGTTGCTTCTGATTGCTAAATGTGTAGAACATCTCTGAGAAACACTTGACAATTATCGGCCTAGTTTGAGGGTTTGAGGGAAAGTTTGAACTGAAAGTCAAATGTAAACTTATCCAAACCAGAAAACTGTTGTGGTTCCTGTCTGACCTCCTGTGGGTCTGTTTGTGGCTGTGTTTCCTCTGGGCCAAAGGGGCAGAGCACAGTGCCCCTTGAGACATGCATGGACACTGCAGTGAACAGTGCCCCTCTGGGCTCTTGAACATGCATGTCGTGTGACAGTGGGCATAGCCTGGGCTTCTGCTGCTGTTCTCTGTTTGTTCTGTGTGGCTCTTTTTCAAAGAAATGGTTAAACCAACTCAGTTTAAAGCTCCTGTATTCTGATGAGTCAGCTCTTTGAGCTTTCAAATGTTTTAACCTCAGTAAAATTGGTGATCCTGTATATTTATCTGTGTTCCTCTTGGAGATACAATCATAAAAATAAAATAAATAACTGTGAGAATTCTTGAAGCCACAATAAGTTTTGACTCAGTACATTCTCCTAAAACTATAGACCTAAATATTAAATATAATAAGAATGTTATATGGTGCTCAAAGTTACTGTACAATTTCATGTATTATTCATTCACTTTACGTAGTGACATCTGCCCTGGGACAGACTGTGTCTGTCAGTCTGCACCTTTGGACCTTCCAACCACCACCAACATTCATACACACCACATTTATACTAGGTAATGTGGAGGTCTTGCCTGTTTAGATCTCCAGGTCTCACACAGGATTGGGCTTGTTTAAAGTGATGTGGTGCTGATGGATCCAGTTTCATGATAGTCTGAGTTGGTATAACCTGTTTCTTCAGACAGAGCCAGTGTTTCTGCTGCTCGTCTCCTGCTTTTCTCAGTTTAACTCATCGATTCATTTCAGTCCAAACATTTGACATTTAACACAGTCAGGTGCGTTTGACATGAGGGCTCAAATATCTTTGCCGTGAGATCACTGATGGTTCAGTATATAGATCTTCAGAGACTGTATAGAAATATAAAAAGTCTTTGCTTAGGATGCATGGCAGGGCAGAATATTGTGCCCTCGACTGCAAACCAAGTGTTTTTTGAAATCCAATCCATAGAACAGCAATATTTTAAAGATGCACTTTGTCTTTTGTGGTGGGCTCCTGCAGAATGTTAGAAGCTGCACCTTTAAGCTGTAAAACGTGAAGGGTCAAGGCTTAGTAGGACAAAAAAATCAAAATAATGCATGATGCCGGCAACATAGCAAATTGTGATCTCATCTTTTTGATGATATTTTGTCCAATATTGTAATTCAAAAACTTTCTTTTTAATACAGCTCTATGCTTCAACAAACACTTTTTCTTCCCCCAGTCCCCCAGTCTCTATGATGCTCTGGGTGAGTGTCATGAGCATTAAACAACGAGGAGCCGTGTGTTATGTGGTTTTAACGCACATCGTGACCTTATGCATGCAATAAAAACATGCTAAGTCTACATGACCATGATCAAATTGAAATCATGATATGAAAATCAGTACATTTTTGGGGGAGCATACTTACTTTAATGTGCATTATGATATATAACTTGTATTAGTCAGAAGTTATAAACACTGTATTAAAGTTATAAAGTTATAAACACTGTATTAAATGACATGCTTGTATCTGTCCCTATGAAATAAACTAATTCATTCATTAAAATCTGTTCTAGGATTAGACAAAATGCAGCTCATCTTAAATGCACCTGAAGCAGCCATATTTTCACTTTTGGAAAAACAAAATTTCTCAATGTTAAACTTTATTTTCGTTGCTAAATGTTCTCTGTGTCTAATGTTTTCTGTCTGCAAAGCTCTGTCCCACTCCTCTTCTGTGTCTCCTCTCTACTCACTCTCTCCTCATCCCTAGGACCTCCAGGAGAGGGCAACAGCAACGTTGAAGAAGCCTGTTAAAGTTCGCTCATCTCTGGGTCGAGAGCAGAGCAGTGACCCCCCCTCCAGCTCCAGACAGGAAGCTCGCAAACGCCTCGTCGCTGCCAAAAAATCCACATCTTTTCGGCAAAACTCAGCGACGGAGAGTGCGGACAGCCTGGAAATGTACGTCCCTGAGGCCCAAACTCGTCTCTGAACTGGATCTATACCCGCGTTTCGACCAGACTAAATGGACCCAAATCCTGGACTAAAACTGGACCAGGACTGTGGACTGTGGCACATTTCTTAAACACTTTCTTAGTCTTAATACTGACATGGAGAAGCAATCAGATGCATATATTTTGAACGTTTGAGGCTCAGAAATTGAGTGGTTGGAATAAAAGAAAGAGACATTTTAATACATATTAAAGTTTTAAATAAATGATAAACTTTTGATGCAGAAATTCCTGGTCGGATGCTGCCAAAGTTTCACTGCAAATAGTAGTATATTCGCATGAGATGAAATGACGAGAATTCAGAATTTTGATCATAATTACAAGGCCCAACTGTAACTCTCAACTCTATTTGTCGTATAAAGTCTCTACATGACTATTGATCCTTTGCAACTGATGTCATCAACATTCCCTGGGGGTGTGATGCTAACTGTAGGCACCGCTCTGTTTGAGACTTTGTTAGACTTTAATCTGAGTTTTAACACAGTCTGACTAGAAAGAACTGACTTAGCTGACTTAACTCCAGCAGGTGAGCTGATCTGTGCTGTTAAACAAGTCTCCTCTCAAACAACATTACAGTCACAACCTAGATAACTTTAGCCAACAGTTTTTTAGTTAGTCACTCTCAGCTTTTAATTGAAAATCAAACTCCTTTGGCAGAATAGCATTAACCATGTGCAGTAAAATGGATTATTAGTGACTCATGAGAATCCACCTTGATGCTACAGTTAATTGGGCAGGCAGACCAATCACAGAGAAGCGTTGAGATTTGTGTGGAAGCCAAAGGCAAAGCACCCAAATGAACCCAAACAAACATGGCAAAGAGGCTCCCCCTAGTGGCCGGTGGGGTCCTATGCATCTGCAAAGTCTGTCCTTGCATCAGTGATTATTTAAATTGTTTTAAGTATATATATATTTATTTATTTATTTTTATTATTTTTTTGGTGGGTATTACGTAAAATTATCTTGTCTCTTATCTTATGAAATTTTGGTGCTTTCTACCACGTTAAAGTTGATCCCTCATCAAAAATACAATCCTGTACAAGGCTCCGCCCACAAGCCTGCGTCACCCATGCTCGCACATTAATCTTCCATTAACGTACAAAAGCATGATACAAGTTAATGCACTACAACTTCACAAAGCTTTCACGATTTGCAGTGGTACGTAGAGCGGAACGCAAAGGGAGGGGGACTGAGAGCGTTGAAAACTAAAGTGAAACTTATAACATGTCAGCACGTTTTCTGCCAATATAGCATTTTCGAAAGAATTAAAGGTAACATGGTGATCAAAATGTATTATGTGTTAGCAGTTAATACTCATAGAAGTAAAATACCCCCTCTTCAACAATATATCATAAAATAAATTATTGGCAGACCTCAGAAATACTTGGAGACTTGAGATTTAATGTGTGAATGCATCAACATTCTGAATTACGTCATTTTAACTCATGTATATCTTCCTTTTTGCAGTGTATATCTTAAATAATAATAATAATACGTTTTGTGAATATAACTTTTAGAGTCCTTAAAGACTGTTTTAATGTCAAACATTTGTGAGACAGAGACACTTCCTCTTCGTCCCAGAGCGGCGGCCATTTTGTAGCTTTGCACACTGCACCACTCTGAGACTGAACCCGACGGGGCCTGCACGCCACACAAGCTTTAAAGCAACATTGCTTAAAGAAATAAGACAATAAAACCATTCTTAAAGGCGCTGTACCTGATTTTTACTGTCTTCAAAAACTGAAAAACAGAACTAGTTCATTTTAAACACATTACACTGGTCCAAAGTTCTTTCTCACTCACCTGACACATTCAGAATCAGAGCATCTTAATTTTTCACACTAATGAATTTATGAGCACTTTTCACAACTCTCAGAGAGCAGAGTGGAGTCTAGCCATCATGGGAAAGCTAACAGCAACTAGCATGATAACAAGCACTTCCTGGTTTTTGGACAATATTTTGATCTACAATATCTGTACTGGGGAAAGACACAAAAATTGGGTACAGCCACACAAAAATAAAAGTATAGTAACACATAATAATTGTAGAAATATTGGTATTAGCCTAAAGTTTGGAAATTGATTTCAGACTTCTACTTTAAGTGCATATGACGGGTTTTCTTTTTTTTTTAAATATAATTCTGACTTGGATTTGTGGGATTTTGGTCAATATTTATCATCAGCTTAATACCAGTTAAGTGGCAGTTTGTGGGAAAAAAGTTCAGCAGAAAGGTTAAAAAGAAGTTACATGAAGTAGCACATGGAAAACTCCATCCAAAATACAAAAAACTTTTCTGACAATTTAAACTTCATTTAACAAAATAAAGGTGTTGTCATAATTTTTACTAGTCTAATCATTATCAACTATTGTAACTATGTCATTTAGACACGTTTGGCCCATGTGTAAATTACGGTTGCTGGAATCATTTGGATTATGGAATTATCTCTACGTACTGTATGTCATATCTGCCCATGTCCAATCAGGAAGGAAAATTATAAACAAAAACCTAGAAACAACAAGGCAAGATCTTCAATATAATTAAGTCAACAAGGTGTAAGTGAAATGAATAGTCAGACCCAACCAAAAGCCGTGTGTCATTTGTTCATTCGTTTTTCAATATAAAACCAAAAATAAGAAAACGAAAAAACTGCTTTTTTTTAATTTATTATTTGTCTCCAAAACCAAAATGAAAAAACTGATAATGATTCATTTTTTTTCAGTTTTCGATTTTGTGTTTAAATGAAAAATTCCCGTTTACGTGACTTCTGTGACTGTGAGGTCGGACTTTTGCGCAGCATATGGACTGAACCAGGACTGATCCAGGTCCGGGACCAGACCGAGACTAGACCGAGACTGAGACCAGACCGGGACTAGACTGGGACTGAGACCGGGACTGATCCAGGTCCGGGACCAGACTGAGACCAGACCGGGACTAGACTGGGACTGAGACCGGGACTGAGACCGGGACCAGGACCAGACCAGGACCAGACCTGGACTGAGACTGGGACTGAGACTGGGACTGAGACCGGGACCAGACCAGGACCAGACCAGGACTGAGACCGAGACTGAGAGTGAGACCAGACCAGGAACAGGACCAGACTGGGACTGAGACGGGGACTGAGACCGGGACCAGACCGGGACCAGACCGGGACTGAGACTGGGACTGAGACCGAGACCAGACCAGGACCAGACCAGGACAAGACCGGGACTGAGACCGAGACCAGACCAGGACCAGATCGGGACCAGATCGGGACCAGATCAGAGGCTCAGAGCCCACGACAGGGCTAGAGCTCGAAGCTGAGGCTCGGACCCCCTGGAGGCTCAGAGTCAAAGCTTGGACTGGTCCCGGACCTGGATCAGTACTGGTTCAGTCTGTTGCCCATTTTTTCCATTTTTTTTATTAAAACGCAAAATTGAAAACTGAAAAAACGAATCATCTGTTTTTTCATTTTGGTTTTGGAGGCAAATAATGAAGAAAATAGTTGTTTTTTTCATTTTCTTATTTTTGGTTTTATATTAAAAAACAAATGAACAAATGATACACGGATTAACCAACTATGGCTTTATAATTCTGTGCATTATTCATTCACTGAGCTACAGCTGCCCTGAGCCATTCAAAATGTTACTCAAGGAAAAGTAAAAATCTGACAGAAATGTGCAGGCCCTGTTCACATGTGTGTCTTCCTTTAGTTTCATTCGACGCTGAATCAGGAAGAGGTGCTTGGAGCAGAGGAAGAACAAGTGAAGAGAGTAGGAAGAGTGAAGGAGGAGAGAAAGAGCAGAGGAGGAGAGAAGACCAGACAAAATGAGAAATATTTAAGGTTTAAATGATTTTACACTGAGATGAGCCATGTATTTGATAAAGCAGTCAGCCAAAACATTACAACCACCCACATGTCCCTCTGTTACCATAGTTACAACAGAAGCAGGGTGATGGTTTAAAGGTGTTCTGTATGTGTTTGCCTCTGTGGGCATTTCTTTGTTCCACAGAATGACATTAAACTAATTTATTAAATCACAGATGTTTCATTCTGAACACATCCTAAAACTTGCATTTTTGCATCTGTGCACAATGGAGTGGGCTTGCCTTGCCACAGATCTGACTGGTGATTTGGCCTGTAGGCCTACTGTGGAATATTTCACATAATCTCTATGGAGACAGGTCACTGATCCACCAGGAAATTTGCACATTGTATCTTTAAGATTCAACATTTGAGAATCAGAAAAAGGGTTATATTATGCCGTCTTTAGTCCTGGTTTAGTCCTGGTTTAGTCCTGGTTTAGATCTGGTTTAGACTTGGTTTAGACCTGGTTTAGACCTGGTTTAGTCCTGGTTTAGACTTGGTTTAGACTTGGTTTACTCCTGGTCCATTCCCAGGTTAGTTCAGGTTCAGACCTCGTTTGGTCCTGGTCATAATGTTTTAGCTGACTGATGCATTTTAATTTCATTTGTGCTGCTTCTCCTAAAATGTGACTGACTTTTGTTTAAACTCTAAGTGCTTTTAAGGGTAACAGCGATTAGAAGCAGTTTAAATATGAACCATCTGATTTGAGTTCTGTCTCACTCTCCATCGCTCAGTTTGATTTTCCAAAGGCCATTTTTATTCAGAGATACAGATATTAAATGACTCTATTACAGATATGAGATGTGTGCTGTTTTTCATTTTCTAACAGCTTTTCATAATGTTTATTATATTATATATACAGACATGGACAACATTGTTGGTAACCCTCTGGTAAGAAAAGCATATATATATATATATATATATATATATATATATATATATATATATATATATATATATATATATATATATATATATATATATATATATTATTTATATTTTTATTTTAATCCTGAAAAATAACCAATGAAAACCAGACACTGCTCTTAAATTGTTGTTCAACAGAATTAAAAAAAAAAAAAAAAAAAAAACAATCCCTGAAAATGAGACAAAAATGATGTTTCCCCTAGAAAAGATTGTAAGTAATTGGACAATAGGGACATGTTAAACTTCAGTGTGTCTCTAATCTTCATCACAGGTTCTTCAGACTTGTCCTCAGTCAGTCTGTCTGTTTAAAGGGGGACATGTGTCATTGTGCTGTTTGGAGACATGGAGCAGAGGAAGAGAAGAAGAGAACTGTGTCAGGAGACTAGAAAGAAAATGACAGACAAACAGGTTAAAGATAAAGACAATAAGACCATCTCCAAGCAGCTTGATGTTCCTGTGATTACAGTTACACATGTTCTTCAGAAGTTTAAGGTCCACAGGACTGAAACCTCCCTGGACGTGACTGCAAGAGGAAAATTGATGACAAACTGAAGAGCTGGATCATACGAATGGAACAAAAGAGCCCAGAACATCCTCCAAACAAATGAAATGTGAAGCTGAAGGGTGAGGTACATGAATGTCAGATCACACCATCCATCACTGTTTGAGCCAAAGTGGACTTCATGTGAGGACACCACTGCTGAGAGCAAATCATAAAAAAAGTGAGACTGGAATTTGTCACACTGCACATTTGTCACATTGCAGACAAGCCACAAAGCTTCTGGGAGAATGTTCTTTGGACAGATGAAACAAAGTTGAAGCTCTTTGGCAAGACACATCAGCTGTATGTTCACAGACACAAACATGAAGCAGACCAAGAAAAGAACACTGTCCCTACTGTGAAGTTTTGTTCTGGGGCTGTTTTGCTGCATCTGCCACAGAGTGTCTTGAATCTGTGACCTTCTGTGAGCCCAGATCTCAGTTCTACTGAACATCTGTGAAAGGAGCTGAAACATGCATCTG